AAATGGCAATTAATTCAACATAACATGTGATATAATGAAACAAGTATAAATTGACTTTACCTAGAAAAAACCTATAGACGGTCATTGAAAAATATTAGAAATAATGTATATTATTTATTTTAATTTGTTTTTAATAAATATACTAAGTGACATATAAATCCGAACACCCAGTTCAAATGGTTTTATTTTAATAAAATTTTGTATAAGTACTTAATGAAGCATAATAAGTAAATGATAAAAATTTCAAAATGACTGCACTGCTTTAAAGCCCTTTGACCTTTAATAATGTGTGGATGCACCCTGATGTGCTACGCATTCTCCAACGCGCCTAGGCATGCTTCTGATCAGGTGGTCAATGTCCTCCTCAACCACCAACTCCTCTCGAAGTGCTTCTGGAGTCTGAGGAGGACGTTGCAAATTGAGCAATCTCCTACCCATCATATCCCACACGTGCTCAATTGGGGATAAGTCGTGAGATCTTGGTGGCCATGGTAACAATGTGACATCATCATGTTGAAAGAAGTCTATTGTGACTCTTGCAACATGTGGTCGGGCATTATCTTGTTGGAAAGTTGGATCTGCCAGGGTGTCAAGATAGGGTAAAAGATGGGGTTCTAGAACCTCGTGGATATAACGCTGCGCGTTCATGTTACCTCTGATGAAGATTAAAGGTGACCTGGAACCATAAGCTATCGCACCCCAAACCATAACTCCAACAGTGTGATGAACATGTCTTTCAACAAAAAACTGTGGATTCCTCCTTTCACCACGTCGCCTTCTAATCCTGGCACGACCATCGTGCATGCCTAAACAAAATCGAGACTCGTCACTAAAGACAATACTGTTCCATTCCTGATCCCAGAGTGACCGTTGTCTGCACCACTCAAGGCGATTACGTCGGTTTTCTCGAGTTAAAGGGAGGACCCAGTGTGGCCGGTATGAAAACAAGCCAAAACTTCTCATTCGTCGGTAAACACTTCGCATGCCAATAGGTCTTCCGTGTTCTGCAAACCATTCATTTGCAATGGACCTGGTAGTGGAGAAACGGTCCCCAGTATAAAAACCGGAATGTCCAACTGATAAGGCTGAAAATTTTTTCACTTGTTATTTACAGTAAGATAAATACATCCACCAACTTTTATTAAAATAAAACCATTTAAAATGTTCATTTTGTGTAAGGACATATTAATGTCGTTTATTTTCATAACAATCTATTCATTTCAGAGACAAGTTCTACACCCAACATATTAACAGTATTCAAGCGCGAAACAACGTCAAACCCCCCAAATTACCTGTTAAAAGAGCGATAAATCGTCCCTCAGGTCCCGCTCGACATTTCCTGCTATCAATGAAATTGCGCGACCTCATCGACCTTACCTTGGCACTTCCTTGAAGCGGCATGGCATGGCGTGCCGTGCCGGGAGCTTAGCGGCAAAAACATCGTAATCAAAACGATCACGTTCGTTTCGGTATAAACTTGACCTTTCTCGCTGACTGACATCATCAGTTGCATACTTGGTCGGTCTATTTAAAATACCTATTTGTTGTTTAAAAGATTGAATGGCAGGTAACACGAGGATATCTGGTTCCTAGTTATCCAGACCCATTGGCGTATCCAGAAAAAAGTTTTGGGGGACTCAGGAAGGTGTCCTTCTCGCGGAGGATTGAGAGTAGTCAAATAATTGAAGTGTGGGGGGGGGGGGGGTTCTGAGAGCGTTGGTTTCCGCCCTTTGAATGAGCTTAGATTTTATAAAATGCATAGCCTGCTTTAATTGCGTCTGCCAGTCGATTCTACTTAACAAAATAAACCAGTATGGTGCGAGACATACTCCACTCCAATTTATAACAATAATAATAATAATTATAATAATAATATTATTTTATTGGTGTTATTAGACTGAAATGTAAGTCTGCAAAAGTAAAACAAAGGACTAAGTAAAAACTACAAACAATAAGTAAATGAGCCAAACATAAAACACAAAGTGGCAATAAAAGATACATAAAGAGTTAATAAAATAAAAGTTAAAATTTAGATTAATAATAAATAGAGTTGGTTAAGAAATTATAAAAGAGACTAAGTACAATAAAAATTATACCGTGGTGAAAAAAATGAAGATAAGGAAGTCTTCTGCGTCAAAAAATCTTCAGATAGTAGAAAGCATTTTTGCCAACTCCTTCAAGAACTAGAGATTTTATTTGATTTGACAATATGTTGTAGAATTTTAACCCATGCTAGTTCACACCATTTCTAGTTTTAGAAAGGCGATGTCGATTTGGACACAAATGTTCTTTGTTTCTGGTGTTGTAATTTTGAGTATCTCGATGACGTAACTGTGAGAGTGAGTTTTAACATGCATGAGGCAAGCATAGATGCAATGTCATGATATTCAATTCAACGAACTGATTCCTGAAGGGATCCCTGCACCTCAAGCTTGACATGTATCTAACACATCTTCTCTGTACTCCAAAAACTGTAGGCAGGTGTGGAGAATGACCCCATGCTAGAATGGCGTGAATCGCATAATTTCTCAGATTCCTTATCAAAGATTTTGTAGCATGATTTACATGCTCGTCCAAGTCAACGAAGAATCAACGTACACCCCGAGAAACTTTACTCTTCTTGTGTTGTTATCATTTGTATCAAAGAGAGATACTCACTATCTGAGTTTTGTCTTCACTCAATGTCAGCCCGTTAATAACAAACCAGTTTTGAATGTCCACCTGCATGCTGATGCTTTGTTGTCTGACCTGAAAGAATAGTAGTATCATCGGCATACAGGAATGGTTTGCTCCTGGTACCGTTACTGATTGATGTACATCAAGAATAACAATGGTCCAAGTACAGATCCCTGAGGAACCCCATGCAAAGTTGTGATGACAGTAGGTTTGCAATTTTTGTATTCCACAAATTGCTGTCTTGCGGACAGGTAAGACTTGAGAAGCTGGACACTTAATAGAGCCATAAAATAAAAAGGAAGCTTTGACAGTAGCATCTAATGCTGCACACAGTCAAAGGCTTTAGATAAGTCACAGAAGTCGTCCTTCACATATAACTCGTTCTCAAGAGAATCTTATTTATCGAAAGGACACAAAGACGATAGGTCATTGAAAGCTCCAGTGCGGGTGGGAATTCCACAAGGATCCATATTAGTCTCCATTCAGCTTATAATATACAGGGTGTCCGCAAAGTTGGGGTTTTCCTTTACACGACGTGTAGATCTTGAAAACATAAGCAATTTTTCTTAGTATCATATACACCAATGTCATAAGGGAACCGAGATAAAGGGCTCTGCAACATCAAAAATATCTGAATACCGTCCTGTAGCCGCGACCCGCGACATCCCCGAGTGGTACTAGGACACTAGCTCAACCCGACGACAGAACTGGGTCGGGGTCAGTGCGTCAGGTCAGTATGCAACATTCAACCGACGGTTACGGTCACGCGTGTAGAGGTAATCGCGTAGACGAGAATCCCTCAACAAGCACTAGAGACGTGGCTAGAGAAGTGCAAGTATCAAAAACTAAAGTGTGGCAAACGCTGCGTGAAGAGGGGCTGTATCCGTTTCACGTCCAACGTGTACAAGCCCTTCAACCTGACGATTTTCCAGCAAGAGTGCGGTTTTGTGAGTGGTTGTTGCATCAACATGACAATAATCAGGACTTTTTGAAGTGCATATTCGTGACAGACGAATCCAAGTTCACGCGTAATGGGGTGAATAACTTTCACAACACTCATGTTTGGTCAGTAGAAAATCCGCACGCTGTCCGTCGGGCACATTTTCAACAAACATTTTCGGTGAATGTTTGGGCTGGCATGGTGAACGGTATGCTCATTGGACCATTTATTCTCCCAAATCGATTGGACGGGATGCAATACCTAGACTTTTTACGCAACATTTTGCCTTCCTTGTTTGCCTGCGTCTGCTCGGTAGCGCATCAGCTGATTCCATTTTCTGTTGGAGCGGTATGATTTCGGGCAGAGACGTACTTGACCCTTCTCGTCAACTGGAGAGTGAGTACTTTTTCCTTTATTTTTTTTTACTTGGTCGCCCTCGTTTCACTACACATTACCTTTGTTATTTCAAGGGTAGTTGTTTCTGAAAAGGAAAACCCCAACTTTGCGGACACCCTGTATATCAACAATTGCTGATGACACTGTATTATATACCAGCAACTCAAAAGTAACAGTTGAAAATGAAATTGATAGAGCTAACCGATGGTTCAAAAGAAACTCTCCAACTCTGAGCACCCGAAAGACAGCTAATGTTGAATTTACCTTGAAAGATGCTGAGCCACGGGCACTCAAATTTTTAGGTGTTACAAGTAACTCTGGCTCAACCTTCAGATATCATATAGAGCAATTAAGTAGAAAGCTTCCTAGCTTTATATCTTAGAAAAATCTCATTTTTTACATCAGAGGAAATTAGAAGGGTTCGGAAATATTAAGGAAAAACCATCTTCAGGATGGGGGAGCCCCTTTAAAAGACCGTAGCGCCGTTTGTCGACCTATGTTTATATAAACTTTTCTTCCTATTTTAAGCTCTAGAAACCGCTGGTAGAATATTGCACACTTTTTTCGGGACACCCTGTATATCTACCTCATTGTATGTATATATTGATAATATCTGGAAGTTTACCTATATCATTTAACTGCCAATAAAACAGTTGTAAAACGTTTACAAACGCGTTTCCGCAAAGAATTTTTCTGTGTACATCATAGAACATTTTATAGTATTATAGCTACTTAGAGTTACGTAAATTTTACAAATTGTTTACACAATTTAACGTGTAGATATACGATCTACTTTATCATCTGTTGAAATAATTCAGTCGGAACGATCTTCCTCATCTCGTGAGTAATAACGGAACAGATGGTATCGTCGGAACAATGTTCCCGCTATTCACTGAAAGGTAGCGAACTACATTAGAATATTGAATAAAAATAATTCAACATTTAAAATAGAAAGATCTGGTGCTAATGACATGTTTCTTTGTTGCAGGACGTCGGTGTTATTCGTCTCGATAACATTCATCGTTCTGATGGTGATATCTTTGACATGGCTAGTGTTTTACTATGTACAAAGGTTTAGGTACATCCGTACCAAAGATAAAATATCTGTAAGTATCTGCTGCAACTTTTGTTTAAAAATAAAACGTTCACAATATGCCCTGTTAGTCGAACTTGTTTGATATCACCTTATATCAAAAGTTCCACGATACCTTATCCTGATATGACACATTTTCCAAAATCGTCATTTTGAAAATTCCAACACAAAATATTTTGTTGATGACCTTCACATTTAATTAGTCTTCATGTTTAAATTCCTTTTATCCATCATTCTTTTAAAGGTCTACCTAGTACCCACTGAAAAATTGCATAAAACCGATTTATCTCTTGTTATCTGATATGCTAAGAATAAAACATTTCGTCATTAGCAGTGTCCTCGGGTTTAAGGTTAGGATCAGGCTCAAGCATTCAATGATCTCTTTTTCTTTGAACAAGCCTGTTTTATTTTGGGAGCGTTAAACAAATTGAATTTAGACTCGTAACCTTGATAATGACCTTGAAGATTACTTAGGCCCGTATCGTCAGTCGTTCCTACAATTATTGTAGGGCGCATTTATGGCCCCCTTGATTGTCATACTCCTTCAAAAATTTCTAGATTACACTTGTCCCGTGTCAGCGTATGCGCTCTCCTATTGTGAAGATATGTCTTCTTTTTAAATTGTAGAAAATTTCAGGCTGATAAAACATGATATAACTCAAAAGCAAGCACAATTTGATGCAAATAGATGTTTGTGACATCACCTCAAAATAGAGTTCTGACACGGAGAAGTAGAAAACTATGACAATCGAGGAGGCCATAAAGGCGCCCTACAATTGTAGGGACGACTGACGATACGGGCCTTAGGTGATGCATTTGAAATTTTTGAGAAAAAGTATAATTGACCACCCTGTATGAGCAAAAATGGAAATTTGAAAAAGTAACAAACAAGATAAAAGTTGAGGTGCGTAAGTATTTTTGATACAAAATTCAGCACTTCAAATTTCAGAATGGCGGATTCAGGGGTTGCCGAAGTGGACGGTTTTTCTGGACAAAACACCTTAACATCTCAGTAGCTAATTACCAAAATCCCATAGTATGTTATATCAATCTTCTTCCTTTGCATTTTTTTATCGCAATATTCAATAAAATTTGAGGCATTTTATTTGAAAAATCACAACTTTGATATGTAGGTCAAAATTGGGACACCCTGTATAATTGCCAATATTTTAGAAATGTGCCCTCAAATGTCGTGTATAACATGCCATAAATAGATTTCCCAAAATGTATTTGTTTATGAGTAATATTCCGTCCACACATGGATGGACCACCCTGTATAATATAAAATTATTCAGAGGCTACGATGCATGAGCTTAGTTTTGAATGACTTCTGAAAAGAAAGATTATGGAAGTGCATTACTTATTCTTCCTTTTAATGTCTATTATCACTGATCAACAGCCAAAAAATATCCTAAATAAAATCAACAAAATATTACTATTTTTAATGTGCTAAAACCGGAATGAAACTTATTTTTTCAATATTAGTTCAAGTTTTAGAGATACGGTAATTATATGTGTTCCTGCTGTGACAGTGTTAATATACTGTAATTCACAAGAATGTACGTGCTACATTTTTATATTCGGCAAGGAAAGACGATGGAATCGGCATGATTGTGTTACGTTATACATACGTGTACATTATATTGTTTTATATTAGCCATTTTTTCCTCAGTTGGCTGACAGCGTTCATGCAAGATGTCTCGAAAGTGTGTAAACAATCCAGATCAGTTTTGTTACGTGTGTGGTGATGTGACTTTTGCGTCTCAGAGACGGTCTATTACTCCACTAATAACAAAGGCATATCAGCTTTATTTCGGTTGTAAACTAGGTGATCAAGACAAACAGTCGGCACCCCACATCTGCTGTAATACATGTGCTTCAAGTCTGAGGAGCTGGTTAAATGGCAAAAAACGGTCTATGCGCTTTGCTGTCCCAATGGTTTGGAGAGAGCCTACAAAGCATATTAATGATTGTTACTTTTGCATGGTACCTTGTGTTGGACAAGCCACAGGTATGTCCAAGAAAAAAAAATCGGTTATTAACTACCCAAACATACCATCTGCGATGAGACCTGTGCCTCAGAGTGACGAAAATACTATTCCACAACCCCCAGAATCCTACACTTGCGAATCAGAAAACGAATCAGATCATGGCGATCGAGTGATTCGTCAGGAAGAAGATATGCCATCAACGTCAAGAGATCCTGATTTTATACCGAGCACGTCATGCCACCAACCGCACAAAATAACACGGTCAGAATTAAATGATCTTGTAAAGAGATTTAGAACTTCCAAAATGTAAGGCAGAGTTACTTGGATCAAGACTGCAGCAGTGGAACTTGTTAGAAGACGATGTTTCGGTATGTGTTTTTCGTAAACGCCACAAAGACTTACAACCATTTTTCAATATGGAGAATAACTTGGTTTTCTGCAGTAACATTAACGGCTTACTGGCGGCTTTAAATATAAACTATAACCCAGAAGAATGGAGATTGTTTATAGACAGTTCAACATTGAGTTTAAAGGCAGTGTTATTGCATATTGAAAATATTTTACCATCTCTTCCTGTAGGGTATGCAGTTCATATGAAAGAATCATATGACAATATGAAGTACCTATTGACATGCATAAAATACGATGAGCACCAATGGCATATTTGTGGCGATTTGAAAGTTGTTGCACTTTTACTTGGGCTGCAGCTAGGCTACACAAAGTTTTGCTGTTTTTTGTGTGAATGGGACAGTCGGGCAAAGGCACTTCATTACACCAGACAAAACTGGCCTGTTCGTCAATTCCTAGAGCCAGGTCAAAAAAATGTACAGCACATGCCATTAGTAGATTCGAAAAAAATTTTATTACCACCACTGCATATCAAGTTGGGCCTAATGAAAAACTTTGTCAAGGCATTAGATAGAGATGGGTTAGCCTTTCAATACCTGCGTCAGAAATTTCCAAAACTAAGTGAGGCATGATTGTTTTCAATAAAACGAAAAAACGATAACTTTTTACATTGCTAGAGTTACATACGGATGACGTTTCTTTGTTTACAATTTGTATGACGTCACATCATGACTGATAGTATTTCACTGTTTCTCATTAAAAATGAAGAAAAATACTTTTTCAAATTAGGCATATCCATCTTGCGCTTCCAAAAATTGAAATCGATACTTTTCGTTTTCCAAAGGCAAATACTTTAAGAAGTACACATTTATTCTATGTAATTAGACATAAGTCAAGTACCTAGCCTATTAGCCAAGGTAACACCGAAACTGTTTACCAATAATGTAGAATGACTTGACCTTGAGTTTGACGATCTGGCCAAGCTTTTCATTTATTCGGAACATTTCTATTTTCAGCGAAGGCTTGGTAATGCAGCGAAGAAGGCATTATCCAAAATACCAACTAAGAATCTGAAATGCGAAGATAAGGTGAGAATTGATTTTTAATTACTAAACTGTCACTTATAAAGGTGATGATTAATATGTTACTGTTGTTAATGTGCAAATGAGTAACATGTCAATGATTCAATTTATAGGAAATGCAAGGTGACTGTGAATGTTGTGCCATCTGTATAGAACCATATAAGATCTCCGATACGTTAAGGATTTTACCATGCGGGTAAGTTCAAACGATTTTTATCAGCTTGTTTCAAAAATAGTAAAGCACTAGGAATTTAGAAAAAATAAAGATTCAAGGGATTTCTTTTTTTTAAATTATACCAATGCATTTAATTTGCAAGCCTCTGACGGATAGGTTGTTGTTGTTGGTAAAGATTTATTTAGCATTAATGCTGCAATGTCAATTTTGTATAATGATTCGGTTACATATTTTTCTTCAATCCATTTTCTGTAATTTTACATTCTTGTCTATTAAAATTAAAATTACGTTACTATGTATTTTGATTATTCATAAAGTGATTTTTTAATTTCACCTTAAACATTTTTAAATTCGAACTTTGTTTAATATCATTATTCAATTTATTAAATCCAAATACTCCATTTGGAAATATAGATTTCTATTACAATTTTGCAGATGAAAATCTATACCGCCTCTAGTTTCGTAGTTATGATAATGACCATTTAATTTTTTGAAGTGTTCTAAATGCGGTGGTGATAAATTATTTTTTAATTTGAATACGAAAACGAAAATTAAATCATATATGAAATTTTTCACATCCAACCACTGCCAACATAGACTTAATCCTAGTATATTTGTTTTTATTTAAAATGATTCTCATAGCTTTATTTTGTAGAATTTGTAATTTTGAAAATATGACTTCATTTGCTGAAAACAAGATGGTTGAACAATATAAAAAATGAGAAAGTGTTATACACAATTTTTTGGAATACATACTAAGATTATAGGAAACTCGGTAGAAGTAATTTATCTTTTTCGATATTTTTGAAATAGTGTATTCATAATGCTCGTGAAACAGTAGCTTACTATCCACATATATACCAAGATATTTAAATGACTCTACTACTTCAATTTTTTCATCATTAATCATGATCCTAATTGTATTGCCACCTAAATGTTTCCCTATTGACATGTATGTATTCTTTTATTAGTGTTTAATTTAAGTTTATTGACATTTAACCAATTCATAATTTTTCTAATATCACTATTTAACAGTGTCCAAATGCTTATGTGCTATATATATAAGTGTATCGTCCGCAAATATTTGAATTTTGCAGTGTTCTAAAATGTCAGAGATATCATTTATACTTTGAAGTTGAGTCATTAATTTTCAGATAATGATTGTAGAAGGAAGATAAACCAAAATATGTGTGTAAAAATAAAAAAAAATTAAAAAAAAAATTTTTACCTTGTTTTATAAAGTATCCTCCCGACAAGTATTTCAGTGCGGACCTGTATTTGATCGTGAGGTCCCCTGTGAGGTCTTAAGTCACCTGATTCACGAGCCCGTTGTACTACATTAACAAAGACACGAGGGGTTGGTTGCACTCGATTGGGAAACCGATCCGCATAAACATGTGCCATTTTTTATTTCGTTTGAGCCACGCAACAGACACTATTCACACGCGACTGACACTGACTGTATGTATAACTGAACTGAATAAAATAATTGTAAAAACATCGTTCCAAATTCTTTCGCTTTTTTGTTTCCGATGCGATGAACCGATAAGGCGGATTATATCCGTTGTTGCCAAACACGAGCACATAATATTATTATTGAGACAGGGCGGTACTCAAACCTCCAAAGGGCTATAACTTTGTTACTTTAATTTTACCAGAAAAATGGTAAAGGAAAAAAACATTTCTTTTGATCAGATCTACTCACTGTTAAAATAAATGACTCAACTTCGAAGTCACCCTGTATAAATGATAAAGTACCTCGGATTCTTATGTAGGTGGCTACCCTGTACAGAGTGAGAAGTTCATGTAGAGAAATGTTCTTCTTAGCCCTAAGCAAATAGCTTAGCTTTTTCCCAGCATCTGCCGCTATTGACGAGATGTGTTTGTACCAGATCAGGTCCTCGGTGATATGAACTCCGACCAGCCGAAATGAACGGCTCTTTAGCAGAACTCGGTCATCCATCTGGACCTGATGAGCTCTAGGACGCTTTTTGTTCGTCAAGGGACAGTACTGTGTTTTGGAGCCATTAAACTATACAAGGTCTCTTGTCAGAAAGAAAGTCGTTAGTCTTCTTTTTTTCACCTCACCGGCAGAGATCAGCTTGTCAATCTGAGTTTCTGCATGTAGAGTACTGTTATCAGCAACGCTGTGCGGTTAGATTGATGCTACAGGAAAGAAGGTCATTGATATGTAACCGGAACAGTGTGGGAGCCAAGATCGATCCTTGAGGAACACCCGCGCTGACGTTGTAGAATGAAGAGAATCCGTCAATTACGACGGATATCTTGCGGCCAGAGATACAGTCAGCCATCCATCTGCAAGGCTTCTCTGGGAGGCCATGGGATGGAAGTTTTTAATCTAAACTCTGTAGAAACAAGTGCGTTTCTCGATTATCAACAATCTGCGGTTAGATTATTTGAATACAGAAATATTTAAAACACAGAATATCGATTTGCATAACCTCATTCACCCTATCTACTTTTCTGTCTCCAGGCACGAATTCCACAAGAGCTGCATAGATCCATGGTTGCTGGAACACCGTACCTGCCCGATGTGCAAGATGGACATCCTGCGCCACTACGGATTCGTGGTCAGTTCACCCTCATCAGTTAGCGGCTATATTTAGTAGAACAGTCTGTCGCTTAACACGCAACACTTCACCAGAATATCTGTGATACACTATCATCATCCGTCTAGCACTCTTCACCACTACTCCTCAACTCTTCCTAGTCTATCGGCAACAAGTAGCGCTTGTGCGGTATGTGGTGTCTGGTCTGTTTTGGTGGAGGTAATTTCAAATGATAATTTAAACTTTTTTGAATCTGGAGCAATGGTCCGTTTGCAATTTCAAGGTGGCTTTGATATTATCGGATCTCGTGACGCTGCATCTATCCATGCTTAAGTTGGATTTTATATCAGGTTGCTTATCAGTCTAATAAATATATTAAGTGACATATAAATCCGAACACCCAGTTTAAATGGTTTTATTTTAATAAAATTTTGTACAAGTCCTTAATGAAGCATAATAAGTAAATGATAAAAATTTCAAAATGATTGCACTGCTTTAAAGCCTTTTGACCTTTAATGTCGATGTCCTCCTGTGGTATCTCATTCCAGGCAACCACCAACTCCTCTGGAAGTGCTTCTAGAGTCTGAGGAGGACGTTGCAAATTGAGCAATCTCCTACCCATCATATCCCACACGTGCTCAATTGGAGATAAGTCGGGAGATCTTGGTGGCCATGGTAACAATGTGACATCATTATGTTGAAAGAAGTCTATTGTGACTCTTGCAACATGTGGTCGGGCATTATCTTGTTGGAAAGTTGGATCTGCCAGGGTGTCAAGATAGGGTAAAAGATGGGGTTCTAGAACTTCGTGGATATAACGCTGCGCGTTCATGTTACCTCTGATGAAGATTAAAGGTGACCTGGAACCATAAGCTATAGCACCCCAAACCATAACTCCAACAGTGTGATGAACATGTCTTTCAACAAAAAACTGTGAATTCCTCCTTTCACCACGTCGCCTTTTAACTCTGGCACGACCATCGTGCATGCCTAAACAAAATCGAGACTCGTCACTAAAGACAATACTGTTCCATTCCTGATCCCAGAGTGACCGTTGTCTGCACCACTCAAGGCGATTACGTCGGTCTTCTCGAGTTAAAGGGAGGACCCAGTGTGGCCGGTATGAAAACAAGCCAAAACTTCTCATTCGTCGGTAAACACTTCGCATGCCAATAGGTCTTCCGTGTTCTGCAAACCATTCATTTGCAATGGACCTGGTAGTGGAGAAACGGTCCCTTAAGGCCAATAATCTTAGGCGGCGATCTTCACGGTCTGTTGTTCTACGGCTGCGTCCAGTGCCCCTTGCTCTTAGCGTACGGCCTTCTCGAAGCCATGCCTGACAACACCTAACCACAGTGTCTTTGCACTCTAACTGTAATTGCCCGAAAAGAAAGTCCAGCTTCCCGAAGTCCCACTATACGGCCCCTATCAAACTCACTAAGTTGACGAAATCGTACAGGTCTCCGTACTCTAGGCATCGTAATCGATCGTAAAGGATGTCAAGAACCAAAATCCGCCAACGTTGATTCTTTACTGCGGCTGAAATATTCATTTTTAGAGCGTTAGTGAATTAAAAAAAGCAGTATAAACAGGAATGTCCAACTGATAAGGCTGAACATTTTTTCACTTGTTATTTACAGTAAGATAAATACATTCACCAACTTTTATTAAAATAAAACCATTTAAACTGGGTGTTCGGATTTATATGTCACTTAGTATATAATTAAAAGTTTGGGGGGAACTGTAAGTATAATAGTAATAAAGTAATAATAAATTATTGGGTGAAAACGTGTGAAAAGGGCGAACTGGAAGAATGCAGGTTGTGCCAGGAAAAAATTTACGCTTAAATTTTTTATTTGCGGAAAATATGATTTAATATCTTTTTTTTATTTACATCGAAGTTATTTTATCGCTAAAAGAATTAACTTTAATGTTTGAACGTCAAAAATCAAGCTATTGCAATAAAACCACTAAAAATATCTTAGATTTTTGTTTCTTTGAATATGTGTACATATTTTCTTTTATAAAAACCTATTCTACAGCTCAGGATTGTCGTCTGGTCCTTATTTTCTAGAGAAGGCAATGTAGTTCCATGATAGTAAAACAGAATTATCTTACTGTAGTTAATAAAAATATAGAAAAATATCACTTGCTAAAAATTTACAATGCAATGAAAATAAATGCGTAGATTGATCAAAATTTTCCTTCTTATTGTTGTAAGCATATTTTGATCAAAATTAATATCCTGAGCATAATACTGTACGTTGTAATAGTTATAATATTTTGAATACCTAAATTTATTTCCAAGCCCCCCACTGCACCTGGAGAGTTTATTTTTCTCTAGCCCAATGTAACAACAATAATTAAGCCATTGAAAGCCAGGATGGTCCAAGTCACAAAAAGACGTTTCCGAGATTTAAGGCTTTAAAGTTTAGATGCGGCTGATAAATGTAGAGCAATAAAACTGCAGTAAGAAATCAAAATACTCTTAAAGGTAGAATCAATTTAAGTATTTTATCATAAAATACATAAACATTTTGTGTTCACGTGTTTTTTTTTCATATGTTTAAGCTTTAGCCCACTCTGCCTTAAAACGGTTCTTACCTTTCATACTTGTATAACGATTATAGTAAAGTAGAGTTACACAACATTATATGAATTGATAATTTTATTACAAAACGACAGAAATCAATCTCCATACATTAAAAAAATAATGTATATTTTCTACACAAAAACTGTACTGTACTGACGCGATCTTGTGGAATTTCTGGAAATTCTCGAGTCCGTTCGCCTTCTCCTTCTTCAGTAACAAGCAGTGGTCCGGTATCTGGCAAAGTTGCATCTGTCTTCAGATTCTTGAAAGAACTGTGATGAACTGGTGGTATGAATTGGAGAAGCTCTTCCATGTTTTTCTTCTTTTTGTCGTTGACAGGAAGAGGGGATTCATATAAAGGAGGTAGGTTTATATTTTTGAAGTTTTTGGGTGCGCCTTTTCGATTTGGTAGTAAATTTATAAAATCATATGGAAATTCTTCATTCAAAGTTTCTTTATAAAAAATTTTTAAGGTTCTTTTTTCTCAAAGTGTAGCCACTGGATTGTGAGCCATGATACAGTGGCATTAGTACCATTTTTCTTTCGTCTTGTTACAGCTTTCTCTAATGTTGTTGATGAGAAATAATCAGACCGTTCCATCTCACAGAAGTAAAAGGGTTTCCTGGGTCTGCATGTTCTTATTGTTATATCAGTCTTCTGGTACGTACTTGATGCTATTTTTTGCCCGCTTGACACTACTATTGAAAACCATAGTGGGTTAAGTCACACTTGTCCCATTCTGCCTCATAACCGTTACAGCTTTCCATTGACATATAAAAACAGACTGGTGCCATATGTGTGCAAAACGAAAAGATACATTTTTCAAAACTCTCCCAGACAAAGATTCATCCATCCAGAACAGTATACACATAGAACCTCGATATCTGAAAATTTGGACTTGGCTTTCAACGGCTCAATTGTAGAAAAAAGTTGATCAACCATTGCACTGTAGATTCTTGGCAATTTAAATTTAGTAATTTTTTTTATATATTTTTCTATCATAGTAAGATAATTCTGTTCTGCTATCATGCAACTACAACACATTTCCAGTAGAATAAGCACCAGCGGACTTTCCTGAGATATAGAATAGAATTTTATAAGAAAATCAATTTTGTTCAATAGAAACAAAAATCTCATAATCGTCACGGGCTTAGAGGTCAGTGTCGTGAGAATAATAACTTTAAAATTTCTTACCAGAATCTGGTGTTCAAAAATTTAGTCCGTGTGTGTATTTTATGGCTAAAAACGATTTATTAAAATAAAAAATCGTTTTGAACCCTATTTCTCGCAAATCAAAAATTGAAAATTTTATCCCTGCACGACTCATGTTCTCATCCTGTATCCCTCTTCACACGTTTTTACTAAATAACTTATCCTCGTACAATGTCCCGCGGAGTTCAGCTCGATTTTCGCTTGATTTCCTGGACTATATGGGCAACCTGCCTAAAATGTTTGGCATAATGGAGTTACCAAAGGGGTACCACTTACGTCTTTCTTCATTATTTACTCACTACTTATCGATTTGAGATATCATTCTTACCTCGAGTTATCAATTTTATCAATGTTCGACAATTTCTCGATGATACGGAGTATTTTCTTCTGCAGACATATGAACCAAATTAGACAGGCCCCTGCATTCTTTGGAGAAAGCAATGAAATATGGAAGCCTTATAGTCCAAGAAGTACCGGAAAAAACACCCTATACTCTAGGCGCTGAAGAAAGAAACTAAACCCAAACAAATACACGCATATTGCTCGTGAGTGAGTGTTTAGGTGCAGGAGACATTACAGGACCGCATCAAGATATTATGGGTAGTCATCAAAAATTTCATACAAGATAATTATTATCTTTTACAGTAAATTTCAGTTAGAGATTCACAAATGAGTTAACTACACTTTTTAGTTATTAGTAAGTAAGCTGCGCGCACTCATTCAGAAGAGGAACTTGAATCTTCTGAATCGTTTAAATGAATTATTAGAGGTTCAATTTGGGTATCGATGACATTGTCCAAATCCCACATTTTGACCTCAACCTTCTCCCGAACGTGGCGGATACAGTTTTTCCATTCCTCTGCCGTAACTCTATTGACTGCGATGTGAAAGAGATTTTTAACATCAGAAAATTTATAAGTATTATTATTCGACGCCACGTATTGCTTTATGTTGGCCCAAATCAGCTCAATAGGGTTCAGCTCACAATGGTACGGTGGCAGTCTCAGGACAGTTTTATTTTGTTTTTTGGCCATTTCGTCGATCATTTTAAAATCGTATTTGTATTTATGTCTATTAACTATACTTATCAATTCACCCTTGACCATTGTTTCATCAAAATCGATCTGTTTTGAGGCCAGCCATTGTTGTATGTTTGCTTTTTTAGTTGCCATTGTGGGAATTTTTTCTATTTTTCTAGAATGGTATGGGGCATTATCCAGTACAATAACAGCGTTATTCTCCAGCTTTAGTAACATTTTGGAGAACCAATTTTCAAAGGAATTGCCGTCCATCTCCTCATGATAGTCCCCTGTCTTTTTTGATTCAAAGGCCCACAGTGCTTCGGGAACAAAGCCGTCTTCACTACCTACGTGACAAATGATCAGCCGTTTGCCTTTTCCTGGAAATAAATTATTCCTTACACTATGGATTGATTAAATTTGAAGGAATGAGGCAATTGAGTTCATTTAGCTGAATTTAAGAGTCACGGAATGCTGATCAAAAACTGAAAAACGTAGAAAATTGAAGTTTGCAACTTCTCAAAACCCATTCAAAGCAAATTGACTGCACTCAAAAATGATAATAAATTTCAAAATAACGCTTAAAAGAGGGTCGAAGTTTTTTTCCTAATGACTACACTGCGAATGCACCATTTTTGGAGAATATGACACATTATCTGCTATCACAGCATATTATTTGCCCGAATTTATCAAAATTAAATTGCCGGATAGATGAAGGAGCTTACCTGCAGGATTTTTCAATCCAGCCGAAAGACCGTCTAGAAAAGCCTGCCTTGATGATGTTACTGATTTGTCGACCCAAACTTTCGCTTGAGTATGTCCAGCATTCACCCACGTTTCGTCCAAATAGGAAATTTTTCTTTTTTCATCGCGAAACTTCCGAATCTTCCTAAGGTATTCCCTTCTCCACACAACAATTTCTTCTTTCTCTATTAACATACTGTTTCTTCCCCGTTTCAAGAATCGAAAATTAAGTTCCTTCAAAAGTTTTCGGAATGTGGTTCTTTTAAATGATGGAAGATCCTCATCAGCATTAACTAATCTTAATATCTTATCTATTGTAGGTATCTCATTTCGGAAGAAAAAATTATGCACTTTCCTCCTGATGGCAGTTCTGTCAAAGTCAGCTACTCCGTCCGTTATCCTTTTTCTTGCAGGATACGGTTTTGGCTCAGAAAGTGAGTGAGTGCTCCTATATTCCTTAATGATCCTATAAACACTGGACCGACATACTCCAGAAATATGTGCTACCTTACATATAACTTCGTCCACGACCAAATCGGGTTTTTCTTGAATTTGGTTTTTGTATATATTTAATATTATTTGTTTTTCATTTGCACTTAAATGTAGCTTCTTAGCCCTTTTTTTGGGTGGGGTTGCGCTGATGTCAACCACTTCGTCGGCTGTATCTGTGTCAGACATCGTATCTTAGGCAATATATAAACAAAACGTTCCACTCGCGAAAAACGAGTATACGCTACTGAATACGTAATGCGTATGCAATGCAATCCTGTGCGTGAATTAACTGTTAGATGCCTGTCGTGTCATCTACAATCACGTTTACAAGTCCAAACCTGTGCAGATTCGTAGAGCGCCGACGACTGCTAGTGACCTTGAATTTGTCTGTAGATCGATGTTACTCCAGTCAATTTAGGTTCAAAGTGGATGTTTTCTAAACCAATTTGTTGTTCCTACATCAAAAATATATCGATGATGTTTTGTACTGGGAGCTCATGAAAGATCAAGGTAACTTATTTTAACAGTCATCCTTTTTCTAGTCTCAAGATGACACGAAAAAGGATCTGTGGATTCACTAGAAATACACTGCCGAGGATGTTTAGACCTAAAGTGACTGGAGTATATCCGTGGATGCTTTCGAGGGATCTGTTCACGTGCTGATCACTGTTTACGTTTAATGTCTTTCTTCAGCGCCCAGAGTGTAATTCTGTTCTTTGCATGGTATTCAAAAAAGATACTTTTAAAAAATCTGCATGGTTCCAGGCCCAAAATTGCGTCAAAAATTGTTTAAATATTTTTAAGCAAACTCCAAAAATTGTTTTTTTTTTCATTCCCTCACTCAAGGTTTAAAAATGTTGAACAACTATTCACGCAATTGAATGCCAAAATGAAGATTTGTTAAAGGGTTGAATAAGGTTATGCAAAAAAACTGAAACAGAATATTTTCCAAGCAGATGTGAATATATTTCCTGGACTATTGACTTTAAGGACTGTGAGCAATTTTAAACGATGAACCGTGACAAGCCGCGGTTATTCTTTGGTTATGTCCTTGATAATTCTGCCATTTGCCCTTCTTTCACAGAACTGAGAATCGTGTTGCTACACGCAACTGTTTTGTGGTCCAACGTCAACGAATACGAATATAATTCAAATAATACTTTACTTTGATATTAACTCTCTAATTCTGCTCAAACAAAAACAGAGGATGAGGATGAGGATGACTACGTCTGTTGTCGTCTGATATCGTTTTTTTTCCACTCATAAGTATTCACGGAAAATTACACAAGCCAGATAACACAAAAGGCATAAAAAATAGGAAAGGATTATGTTATTATTACAAGCACCGCATAGAAACTACCACCTGAGCATATTAGCATCAGTCTCAAATGTCATAATTGCTAACGTCGCAAAGCGCCAGTTCGTGACGTCATCATTTGACAGCTGTGACAGACCGTACCGATTAAAATGAAAAAGTCAAAATCAGACACAGCCGGCATGGCTATTACGTAAAGACCCTATACAGGGTGTTTCTTAATGTATGCAGTTTGCTTTATAAACTATGGAACAAAAATGTTTCCTTACAAAAACTCGGGATGTTGAAGTTTTAGGAAAAAAATGCAAATTAATTAATATTTTCAGAACCGCTTCATATATTTCACTTATATTTAGTACGTAGTGAAAGTTAATAAAGTTGGATATTTTTCAATACAAAAATATTTTTTAGCTTAATGCCAATGGTTTTTTGACAAATAACAACTTAAGGAACACTCTGTATAATGTCAAAAGAACGGCAAAATGTCAACTTGGTCTCCAGGTAGTCGCTAGTGTGCCGCTATTTCTTTCCGCGCCTACTAATGGGCGATTTTTTTGCTAGTATCTTTTTGGAAACACTGTTTTTGACAGATGACGCGTGAATCGTGTCTTGTGTCATTGTCAAACTTGTTCAGTTTGGACTATAATTTAACCATGAATCGACTTACGAACGAACAACGCTTGCAAATTATTGAATTTTACTATCAAAATTCATGCTCGGTTAAGAGAGTGCATCGAGCACTGCTTCCAATTTATGGGCAATTTGGTCGGCCTACTGAGGGAGCTTGTGACTAAATTTCGAACCCAGTTTACATTATTGGACATTAAACCACCAACGCGCAGACGCAGAGTGAGGACTGAAGAAAATATTGCGGCTGTATCCGCCAGTGTTAGTGATGACCGTGAAATGTCGATTCGCCGCCGTTCGCAGCAATTGGGCCTCTGTTACTCCACTACGTGGAAAATTTTGCGACAGGATTTGGGTGTAAAACCTTATAAGATACAGCTGGTGCAAGAATTGAAGCCACATGACCTCCCATTTGGTGAATGGGCGCTGGCAAAGTTGGAGGTAGATCCACATTTTTATCGAAAAATTGTGTTCAGCGACGAAGCTCATTTCTGGTTGAATGGGTACGTTAACAAGCAAAATTGCCGCATCTGGAATGAAGACCAGCCAGAAGCATTGCAAGAGCTACCAATGCATCCCGAAAAAATCACTGTTTGGTGTGGATTATGGGCCGGTGGCATCATCGGGCCGTACTTCTTCAAAGACGACAATGGCCGGAACGTAACTGTGAATGGCGAGCGCTACCGTGCGATGATAACAAACTTTTTTTTGCCCAAAATGGAAGAGCTGGACTTGGCTGACATGTGGTTTCAACAAGACGGTGCCACATGCCACACCGCACACGAAACAATCGCCCTATTGAGAGGCGAGTTCGGTGAACAGTTTATCTCACGTCAATTGGACGTCTAGATCGTGTGATTTAACGCCGTTGGACTATTTCTTGTGGGGCCTTGTTAATGTCTACAGGGATAAACCAGCAACGATTATCGCACTGGAAGCCAATATTGAAGCATTTATTCGTGAGATACCGGCCGATATGTTGGAGAGAGTGTGCCTAAATTGGACCTTGCGCATGGGCCATCTAAAGCGGAGCCGCGGCCAACATTTACATGAAATAATCGTTAAACATTAAATTATATCGACCGTTCTATCGACTCAAATAAAGATCTAATCGTTTTTTCAAATTCTTTGTGTTTTTTTTTTTGAAAATCAAATCCGATACCTCTTAAAAAAACACCCGTCAAGTGAGCATGAAGAAAATGTCAGCTAGTTCAAAGGTGATATTTTATATGTATAATGTCATAAAAAACATATACAAAATTCAAAAAATCGCTATAATCTAACTTTTTAAGTTACGTAATACGTGCCGTTATGATCGGTAGATATCTTAAAATTGCGTTATGGCAACCCACTTGCCGCTCGCATCTGTCAAGGTTGACAAA